ATTCAGCTCGAATGCACTCACATCATTCTCCAGCATTATTGTCTGAAAGTTTTTAGTTCTCTCAATTGTTTCTATGAACTCTGACATATTTTTCACCTTTTCATTATACCCCAATAGCAATCCACCCAACATTTCACCAAGTTTCCAGAATTGATAATTTCACAACCCAAAATATGCCTTAATTTCATCTTATCCAAATTCTTGAAAATGAAACCGTCCACAAACTCACAACAGTCAAATGAATGAGAATGAAGTAAACCTAAGTCAACAATAGTTAAACCTAAGTCATCACGTATCAATGAATATCTCACCTTAAGTTCGCTAAGCGGACCGCTTCCGACATCTTTTTCGGCCAATAACGCCGATGCAACGGCACTCATTCGAGTGATTGTCGACGGGGTTGTCGAATCTCCGTTTGCGGAGTTCGGCGCGAAATACGTCGAAAGAAGATATTCGGCTGAAAACATCAAAAATTTCATTAAACTGTTTTGAACAAAAACATGATAAACTATCCAAACACTTCATCTGCATAATACCTCAATCCGTTATATTCTTGAACAAATACTCGTAAATCATTTCCATTGAATGAAACAAATAAAATCGATGCGTGACCAACAATATCCACAAGCAAATGAGTGAATAGATAAACTCAAATGAGTAATTAAACAACGAATCGTATGCACTAACCCTCTTTTCTGATCCACTGTCGAACTTTCTCTTTCTGTTGATGATTCAACGACGAGACATTCGAGGATGCTGATGCACTATTGATCGCTAACGGTAGCGATGAGTGCGACTGTGACGATGTTGACTGCATCAGAATCGAGTTCGAATACGTGTTCGTATTTGTTGTGGTCGTGCCGGATACGCCGACATTGTTACTGTACGGGAAGACGATCCGGGACCGAGAGGAACCTGACGAACAACAGATGATGAAGTTGACATGATTATGATTATGGCGATAATGTAATTGTCAGTGATGAATACGATCATTATGACAGTGACAGCAGTACTCATTTGGGGTGGTATTACGATTTCTTGATTCACGACAATTAGACGATGAAAAATGAGGACAGTTGTTTATCTGGTGGATTTGTTCAATCTCAGATTCTGAACAATTCACTCATAATGAAGATTTCGATTTTTACAAGCAAAGGATATCCAACAAAGATAATTTTATTCGGGAAGGGCCGCAATTTAACAAATTGCATTCCCCAAAGTAATCCAGTTATTCTTAACTTCTTTCAGCGTCAACGTGCGATTTTTTCATTCTCTACAAGCACATGCCAATATCTCAGCTAGATCCCTCCCAGAACTAAATCTTCTCCATTTCAACGGCGTTTTCTTCATCTACACTTGTTTCGTTGCATGGGTGCAAAATTTTCAAAGAAGTGATACTACCTTGATTAGGAATCATATCGTGGGGTGAGTGCGATGATGAGGACGACGATGTGCCGGGCATTCGGAATGACGGCAGTCGAAGTGAGTGGAGGAAATTCGACGTGGTCGATGAACCTTTACGACGAGATTCCTTCTTGGATATTGGACTGAAATTTGGATTTCTGAAATAACATTTCATGGTAATACTCGCATTTATTCCCTTTCAATGATTATTGTATAATGTAATCACTGTGCGAATAGAAACAACTCTCAACGAGGAAACACCAAAAATATCACCAGTAAGCATTTTTCAATTCCCACACCTCGCTATCATTTTAAAAAATGAATCGCTTGTTTGGCTTGATCATTATATTGGTGGTGAGTA